AGACAGTTGAATGTTGCCATTCTAGTTCTTTAGAGCTTGTGCCTTTGGGGAATAATAAAACTGAATTAGACAATATATTAGCTGTAAATTTTAGGAACTGTATCCATGAACTAAGGGTATGGCTACTCTTGCAGATGTAGAGCGCTGTGAGTTAGACCCGCCTTCGGAGAGCGCAGTAGGGAAAGCGCTGCAGTCTGTCCACACTGACAGCTGCTTGCGCACTAGCGTAGCCACATTTGCGGCACTTGCAGCGGCATTGGGAGCGGTGCATTATGGGCAGCTATCCCAGCATGCAAGTGACTGCAATGTGCTTTTCAAATGGGGGGGTGGGGTGGAGTGTGTTGTGTGTATGTGGGGGGGAAGAGAGTGGGGTTTTGGGGGCTGAGAGCATGTCAGGATGCTATCTTGTAAGTTCAGACAGCAGCAGCCCCCCCCCCCGCCTCTCTCTCTCACATACAGCATTCCACACTAATCTGTCTCGGAGCACATAAGCAGCTGGCTGTCAGAAACGGAGCTTTCAAATGGCATATCCGCATTCCTACAGCAAGTTCAAAACAATGAGAAGAGTGGCCACTTGACTTAAGGGGATTATGGGACGTTTCCGGAGGCTGATCAGAGCGCAGTAATGCAACACCTCGTCCACACTGGTGCCGCGGCGCTCCAGCGGGGACGCAGCAAACGTTATTCCACTCACCGAGGTGGAGTACCAGCAGCGCTGTAGCCGCGGAGTCAGAGCGCTCTACGTGTCTTGCCAGTGTGGACAGGTAGTGAGCTAGGGCGCCTGGGGCTCCTTTATTGCGCTGTAATTCGCAAGTGTAGCCAAGCCGTAAGATCACCATGACACAATACTAACAGGCATATTGTAGGGAGACCCCAATAGCCTTTACACAATCTTCATACTGGTTAATAATGTATCTCCTTGGGTTTTGCAGGTGTATGTTATTCATGTTGAGTTGTATTTTGGAAAGTACTGTACAACTTCCTCTGACATTGTTTTAGGTTGGGTTATTGCTATACCAGCAAGCCCCGTAGTGTAGATGGAGCCTACACCAATAGAAGGGGTTTTTCTGTTGGTGTAGGAACACCACCTGCCTGAACAATGTTAGCTATGTCAACGGAACCACTCGTCCGTTAACATAGTTGGGTCTATGCTGGGGGTTATGTTGGCATAGCTCTGTCACGGGTGTAGTTTTTCACAACTCTGGTCAGCATAACCATGCCAGCATAACCTTCAAGTGTAGACCAAGCCCTAGATTTTCAAACTCTCAATTGATATGTGTGAACTTCATGTTTGACAGTTTTTGCCTCGAATTCCCATGTCACTTTTTCTAGCTGTTAGTAAGAAAGAATGCATAGTCCCTGCTCTGAAGACCTTATATTCTTTCTAATCAGTTTCTCATCACAGTGGTATAAAATCCACCTTTACATATGTGGTCTGATCTTAGTCTCTTTAAGCAAAATGTTTGCTAAATTGTATTTTCTTACTCATTTCTTGCAGAATTCTCTCCTATCTAATGCATTTCAGTGGCATGTCTCAAGTTTTCTCCTTCAACGTCCCTATTAATAGTTCTTTAGTTTTGGCAGGTGTGTATTAAACGTTAACACTCTTTTTTTGGATGTTAAACTGCTATTTACTTATGGTAATTTCTAATCATTTTAAGGTGATTGTCAAGAGAGAGATGAACTGAGGAGGAAAAATTTGTCAGGGATTTACAGTAAATACTCTCTGCTTTTGGAAATGCTGTCAGAAGTTTGTTTAGGTTCAAGTGATTTTTTGTAATGTGCCAGACAGAATCAGTCTGTTATAATGAACTGGTCGTGTACTTCCACCAACAAAAAGGGAGGGTGAGAAACCAAAGCCTGCTCAGGATTTCCTATCACCTTGTAATACAGAAGGGGGGGAGTATGCTGTTTAACCTAGCCTGTAATTAGGTTCTACATGGAAGCATATATTACTGTGCTTGCGTTGCCAAAGCACTTCAGTATGATAGATGAGATTTAAAGGTTGATCTGACTAAATTGCAATGAGAATACTAACGACAAAAATATTTCTGTTGTGAAATATTCCTACCAGACATCGTGGCTATGGCATAAATGCTGTAAGATAATGGACAATAAAAGTCACTCGAAAATAATACTCTCCTAGGATTGGACTGCTTTCTCCACCGCACGTACTCTGAACCAGGGAGATAATGTAATCATAAGCCTAGCCCATCATTTAAAAATATAGGTAATCTCATATAACATCTTGACAGATTTATTTTATGAGCAAGCCGGAGAGAGAACATTATTGGGCAGCAGAGAGGAAGAAAGTATTATCATTGTGGTAGTGGTTACTTCGGAAAATAGTTTGCATCACTTCACTCTTTCAGGAAGCCTACTGTAAATGACACAGCACTCACTAGAGATTGGGGAACCCTGGCTCCCGTCTGTAAAATGTTTGATTTGGATGTCAGTCATTGACCGAAGAGCCTGCTCATCAGATACGTGATATTAGAGCTTTTATTCACAATGAACTGTTGGATCCCTCTGTGTATGCCACAGGATGACTGGGCAGGGGTTTGATAGGGCACCCACTTGAATGCGGACGAATCATGCACGGGTATCTGGAAGGATGTGTGTGATGGGTTGTGCCACCTGATGTACTAGAATCGCACTGAGCCCGCCCATTCCACCAGCCTGGACTCCCTCACCCGGTCCTTCTGTGCCAGGCCCTCAAGCCTCCTCTAGCACGCACACACTGGTAGGGACATGCTCAGCGGCAGAAAGACACAGACACTGAAATCAGCTCTGCCATATTCATATCATAGCAATATCTCTATTAAGAATATGGGGCGTAGGGTCATAGTGTGAATCTTGATTGCTTATTTTGTTGCACTAGCTATTTTCATCCAAACATAGTTCTTTTCCCCCATTCAGCCCCCCAGGAATTGAGGGTGGGGAAGAAACGTAGGGGGATATAGTAATCTGGAGAAAAAGTACATATGTGGGTGTATAGTCTATACACAGTATTAATATATTTTGCATTGCTATACCACCCTCTATTTGATGATCTCAAACCACATGGCAGATGCAAAAGGCCACTTGGAACTTCTGTAAGGCAGGTCACTACTACCCTCATTTTACAGATGGGAATACTGAGACTCCATGGCCTTGTGGAAGTCACTTAGCTTCTGGGCTTCATTTTTCCCATCACCTCCAGTGTAAGAGTGCAAAGCCTTACTATTTGTTTGTGGCAATGCTAAGGAAAGCAGCAGTGTATGTGGCTCATCTAGTCTTTATAGGAGCATCCACCTCAACGGCCCTAATGATTAACAAAAGGCTTGTTATGCAGGGCCAGATGAGGACAATTTCTTTCTGTGGGACAGATGGGCACTACTACTCTGTGTAGTGTAATCCTTTCTTTGTCTCTTACCTATTAGGTTAGCTAACAATGGTTCATCTGTGGACATTTGGGTTTGCTGACACTCAGTAGTGTTGCGGGCAGCAAAAAGGACTGAATGCCAGCCATATGGAAAGCAACTGGGTATGCCCAGTAATAAGATGGAGGTGTGCTGGCACAGGAAACAGGCATGTGTTGGGCGCAACTACTGCTGCTTCACTATCTCCTTGGGAGGTTTTCGGTGCCAGTCATACGGAGTATTCATCTGGGAGAGGATAATTTGGCTTCTGGTTGAGTTTTAGGCATCCAGAGGCACATGCTAATACCTGATTAAGCTGGCTGCAACAGTTGCCAAGGCTGGTTTGGAGAGGAGCTGCACCTTGGGCATTAGGTGCATAAGAATCTGAACGCTGATGAGGTTCTGTTCCTTAATGTACATCTTGTAACTAATGATCTTGGGCTCCAGTACCAAGCACCCTGGGCTCTTCTGCCCTATGAAAGGCACCTGTCAGATACCTGAAGGGGATCATGGAAGCTTTTTTTTTGGTCTGAGTGGAATATTTGAGTCAAAGGAGAAGAGCAAGAGGTAGATCTATTTGGGAGATATAGTCCTGTAGAGGAGCTCCCAGGAGAACGTGAGCTTGTTGTACACTTGTGGAATGTGGGGCCCCTTCAGGTTAGGGGGTTTGTTTAACTTTAAATGAGGATAGGTGGTGAATTGGGATCTTGATTGACAGGTTGCTTTGGCTTGGGCAGATGGTAGTGGAGCTGACTGAAGACTAAGTTTCATGAATAGTGTGACTGCATGGGATGTAAGTCGGCAGAATTTGGTTCTAGATCTGTGCACTTCTAGCTATAAAAACTTTGGGTTTGTGTGGTTACAGTTCTTTATGCTCTTATGCTGATGATTTTTAATTATGTTATTGATTTTACTTTGTTCATTTCACAAGTGTTAGTAAAGATGCAGCTGAGGTAGCAGATAAATTCATTTATTTCCAGTCTAATTCCAATTTTCTTGTTTGTTCTTGTGTACGTTGTTTCTGGCTTTGTAAAAATTCCATTTTGCATGTGAATAGTGCTACGATATATAATGAATATATTGTAGTAGTAATAACTGTACTTCAGAATGATGACAGTGGGTGCTAGGATTTTTAGAGACTAGGACAGCAGTTGTTTTCATAATTGTTTGATAGGGGAATTTCCTTTGTGGGTGAGTATGTTTGGAGTGTGCTCTGGCATGTATTTTCCTTTCAGGTCATGCCACTCCTTCAAATACAGGGGCAAATATTAGACAAACCTATTCTAGTATGTGGGCTGAGAGAGGACCAGATTCCACATCATTTGAGGTTTGGGTGGATCACTGTATTTGGGATGTATTCCTAAAGTAGTGGTGATGTGTGCGCGCATGCACACGTGTCAAAGGACAGTGAGTTGAAAGTTTGATATCCTGTATGTTTTCAGAGTGCTGTCTTCCTAGCTTTTGAGTTTATAACTTCAGATCTGTTGGTGGAAGGAAGGCAGCATTCTGCTGAGTTAATTGTTCTTTTCTGAAAATGTTTGTTTTTAAATTGGGGTCAGCTCTGATTAACCATGTTTTATTTCCTTCCTTTGTTTCCAGTAACCTGTTTTCCCTACTGGTTCGGGTACAGGCCAACAATCCTGCACCAGTAACTCCACTGCAGATACTTAGGTAAGCAGCATATTCAGTCATACAAGACCTGCCAGTTTTTGTGTGGTTGTATGCTGTCCTGATGTCTGTCTTTTTTTACAAAACTAAGTGCTTAACTGAGACAGTGTTGCTTCATTTATTTATTATGTGCAGCTAAGTGCCAGCATTTTAATAACTGAAGCATGCCACTGGCTTGTTTGTTCATATGAGTTCTCCTCTTTGTTTTCAGTAAGAGAAGTTTGTTCCTTGATTTTTGTAGATTTGGTGGGAATGCTGAGAGAGCGTCCCACTTACCAGCCTGTGTCCATTCTTGTGACATACCGAAGATTGCATATAAACAGCATAGCCAGTTTTGCTAACGTTGTTTAATCATAATTTGCAAGTTTTCTTCTTGTGTACAAAAGAGGCCAGGTTATACTGCTTTCATAAAATCTTACATACCATAAACCTGTGGAACTTGCTGCTCCAAGATATTGCTAAGACAAATGATTGTGAATTTCAAAACTGATTAGACATTTATGCAATTGGACAAGCACCTGCAATTATACTAGTCTGGGACAAAATTATACAGACAAACAGTTGTGCTTCAGGCCATATGGGACCACTGGTTGAGGCAAAGAAGAAACTTCCCTTTGTGGCATAGTGTTATACAATTAGTTTAGCACAGGGTTACTTTCTTTCCTCTGACACTTCTTGCATTGGCCACTGACTGAGGCACTGGCATGGATGGGTCATTTGGTCTATTCTGGCATGGCAGGAGGAGGAATACCTGACTGAACTGGTCACTTATTCTTTTCCTATATGATAGTTCTTGTGTTTCTGAACCCTTCAAAAGAAGCATCCCCATCATTTTTCCCTTATAGGTAAAGTGCCAGCGCTAACTAATGACATCTTTATGCTTTAATGTTGTATGAAACTGACCAGGATTGGTATGCGGTATTGCTAGGTTCATTAGATTGGTTGGCCGTCCGCATCATTAAGAACTTACATGGTCACTTAGAATTTACCCCAAATACTGCAAGAATCAGAGCATGCCGTTAATAATTTTTACCCAGAATTCTCTTAAGTGCCATGCTTGAAAACGCAGTGATGAAAGCTTTCCTCCCTACATTTCACTTTCTAGAAGCTGAGAAGATTAATATTCACTCTCCAGTTACTCTGTGCTGCTTACAGGGAATGGAACCTCAACAGTGACAATTCATACCTCACAATAAAAAGGAACCATATGTCCAAACAGGAATTCTCAGAATAAATAATTGTCCAGAAGCAAAAATATTAATTTAAAATTTGATTTAAAAAAAATAAAGGATTGAGAGCCTGATTTCAACAACTGGCTAACACTGGCTACAAAGGATCCCATGAATGACATGCATACTTTTGGAGAAAGACTGCCTCTACGTATATTGATTTTTGTGGCATATGACCTACTTGGATCTTGTGCATTTGAAATATTTAATGTGAACATTTGTAATTGCCTCAAACTGAAATTCAGCATTGGTTACTTTTTGTAACTTACTCTTCTCAGAGGTGATTGTGGTAACTTCCCTTTTTCATCCAGTTTGGGGAATGTGTGGCACACCTCTGTGCTATTTTAAAAATATATCTGTTTGCACTTCTCCAGCTGCAAGAACAGTCTGAGCTTCCTAAGTACCTTGGAAGTAACAATGAGAGAGCCCATCTCTTGAGTAATGAAAGTGCAGGGCTAGGACAAAGCAGAGTGGAACGCTGCCAGTGTGTAGGGAGAGCTCATTCCAAGGCCTCTTGACTTGTTTCCTACTGTTGTCTTTGGCTGTTAAGCAGATGAAGAATTCTTCAAATATTCTTCTGGAACTATGTTTTTATTACCAAATGGGAAAAGGAAGTGAGAAGGAATTGGGAGTCTGATTAAATGATTTTGAATTCTGTTTTTTTATTAATGTTCTCTACTGTTGGTTTTGTGTACCTTTTGTATTCTGCTTAAACAGGACTTGACTAGATTTTTCTGTCTGATTTCTTTGATGCTGTATTGTGCCAATGATAATGTATTAAAAGTTGACTAGAAAGTACTGGGTAAAATGAGTTTGTTGATCTCTGTCCAGTTGTCAGTGGAATCATGTATTCAAACTCACCATCACAGTGCACTAATTTTTGCAGTCTTGTTGTATGTCTCAAGAGAGGACAAGGTCTGAATATGCCATGGAGATGAAATGCTCCTCTTACCCCTGGATATAGTTCCTGCAAGTTAGAATTGAGGCACACTCTTGGAATTTACAAATCTTGGGGAAGCTTGAATTGCTGTTGTAAAGCTGTGAATAAACAGAAAAATTTTAGTTTTCAGGTCTGTTAATCCTAGTGTACATTTCTTTTGTGGTTCAGTTAGAAACTGCTGTACAGCTTTGAATACAGGAGCTAGAGCTGGAACAGTTTTCTGGGTTATTTATCTTTGCAGGGATTAATTTAAAAAACACTCATTTTGGCAGGAGCACATTTGCTATGGAAATGTGAAAACTTAAAGGTGTATTTTACATTTTGGATGTCAGTGACTTAAGTATCCCTTTTAAGAAAACTACATGAATATACATACAATATAAATACATGATTGAAGATGGAGTGCATGCTCCATAAAATCAACATAATTATTCCTTCAGATTGAGTTTAGTCATATTTCAGAATGCTGTGCATCTACTGTGAGGGAATGGCGGCTATATTTTTGATGTATTGTGGAAAAAGTATCAGAGTATGTGTACACTGCAGTTGAAGGTGTGATTTGCAGCTAAGGTAGGCACACTTGCACTAGCTTTAATCTGGCTAGAACGCTAAAAATAGCAATGAAGATGAGGCAGCACAAGCTTCAGCGTGGGCTAGCAACATGACTGTACCCAGGGGATCAGGTAGGCATGTATGTCTGGCACTGAAGCCCATGCCACTGTGTCTTCACTGTGATTTTTAGTGTGCCAGCTAAATTAAAGCTAGCGAGAGTATGTCTATCTGAGCTGAGATCATTCAACTGCAGTGTAGATTTACCTTCCATCTGACAAGTGTTTCCTTATTGTTAACAAACTGGGTAGTAATATTGGATCCAAGATCTAGCAGAATTCTGTTGCCCAGTGAAGGTCTTGGGTTTCTTGTAACTTAATTACCTTTCTTTGACCAATTTCTTTGGGTACAGATGATGCCAAAATCCTCTTGATTGTTTACTTCCAACCTCAGTGGAACTTCTCTTTTTAAGATGTTGAATTTTAAAAAGTAAAGAGTCATTAAAGTATTACGCTGTGTTGATTAACAGTGATATACTGACACCTTTGTGACTCTGGAGGTATAAAATGGTTAAAATCAGGTGAAGATTCTTACAATGCAGCCTGCATTTATTTCCTGCTTAGTATAGGAAGAGTGCTGCTTGCAGACAACAACAGGTCCCTGCATGCAGCACCCATACTGATTTGTACAGCCAAAATATAAGGTGCAAGACTGTAATAGCCCATGGACTTGAGTAATTCTGAAAAGAACAGTTAAGAGCGAGAGACTAAATTTTGAAGTGCTCCCTTACATTAAATCTTGGAAAATCATTATCCTAGTGATGTTTAAGGTTTTGTGGTAATTACCTCTTAGGAGTTGGTGGGATAGTCTGCCCCATATTGTGCATGTAACAGAGCCCGACTAGTTCCAGATTTAAATAACAAAAGTTTAAAAATGTATTAATTATATACAAAGAAGTTAGAATGACTGACTTGAGGTATTAATTGGTAATTCAGTCTTCAATATACTCATTAGCTACAAATTAGCCTTTACACATGTAGCCTTTTTTAATCCATAAATTTCACTTTAAAGAGATCGGGCAGGGAAACTTCAGCCCAGAATGTGAGCGTTTCAAACAACCTTTTTGACTTGTTTGTTAGAAAAGTATAAGCATCTGAAAATGGGGCTGGGAAGATGGGAGGTTGTAAGCAGTTTTGTAGCTTTAAGCTATAGCAGGCATTCCCAGTGTTCTCTACTACATTGTATTCATGTTTAAAAGTGCAACTGGAATACTGGCTTTAGTTACCTTTTTGCTGTTTTTATTTAAAGTGTCAAAAAACTTGAAAAATATGCAACAGTTTATTGTAGAGTTCTCTGCAAACAATTCAGGAGCCTTTGCTGACATTAAAAAGTGCTTCTCCATTGTTAGCAGCAATCTGAAGGCCCTCTATCAGACCTCTTGCTGAGGATAAACTTGCCAGTCTACCTATAGTGTGAGTGTATGCCAATAAGAGCCTGGAATAGCAGAACTTCGAGCAGGACACTCTGTCCCTTAGGTGTCAGCAGGATCAGAGTTGGTGTCATGTGAGAAGAGCCATATCTCTTTTCAAAACTGATTTTATTCTTACTCCTTTATTTGCGTGCAGCTACAGTACTTTAAGCAAACACTGGCCAAACCCTAGTACTCTGCCTAATAAACTCTTCTACATGCTTGTGGTAGCTATGCTATTCTCAGCTGTTAATTACTTTCCCATTGTCTAATCTCTCCTGGTAAGTGAACATACCTTGTGTTTCCTACAGCACCCGGAGAGTTATGGTTCTCTTAGAAATGCCTGAGTTTCATGTGATCTGCTGACTGGCTTGGCTTCTCAGATTTACAAATAACTTGATATCTTTTTGGACTTTACTCTGTCCCTAAGGCAGGCTAGGGTAGATGTGATGTAAGATCAATGTTAGACTATGGATATATATCAATGTTCGAGTATGGCAACTGGGACCTAATATTTTAATGCATTCCAGTATCTCCAATTTTTAAGTGTGAAACTTAATTGTCTTGGGTGGTAAGAGGCAAAAAGGGAATCTGTCAGTAAACTGTAGTCCATATCAGTATGTTCTCTGTGCATGTAGGATTTTTTATTATGCTTTCTTTTTAAATAAGAAACCCTTATAAATCCTAATTATTTTAGGTCCCATGTTTTTAGAGAATTATAAATTTGACGGCTCTGACAGCAACACATAACACACAAATTACTTGGGGGTTTGTCTGAGAGTCCATATGTCTAGTGGATGGAGCACTGGACCAGGAT